TGTGTGCAAAGGCCCTGGGAAAGGACTAGAAAACATGCCACATGCTTCAATTGTGGGGGTGTCCTAGAGCCAGAAAAGCACAGGCTTTGAGGTCAGATCTGGCCTGCAATCTTTCAAAAGATCTTCACCTTTTTTGTTTCCCTTTTTCTTAAAAGGGGATCACAGTAATTCTCACTTCAGAGGGTTGTTGTAGACTGAAACTCGATGGTAGGCTTGAAGTTAAAGCATAAAACTGTACTGATGATCATCAGAATAAAAGTAATCAAAGCTGACATTTATTGAGCAATTATTGATAGCCACAGTGCTAATTGTTTTATTACATATGTTGATTTATTTAATCCTCACAACAATTCTCTGGGGCAAGTGTTAATATTCTCATTTTACAAATGAGGAAACCCAGTCCCACCACAGTTAAGTATTTAGCAGAGTTGGTATAGTAGACCTTGTAAGAATGGAGCAACTTCTGCAGAGATATAACCACTGTTAGCTCCTTCCCTTTGGTGGCAGAGTGGCTGGGTGCAGAAGAATGGGCACATCTAGGGACTCTCAGTCACAAAAGCCAACCCAGAACTGGCCTTTTGCAAGATAGGGTTTTAGTATATGAGGCTCCAGAACAGCATCTTCAGCCACACTCATGAACATCAGTTTAGGAGCAATTGTTCTATCTTGGCCTTAGTCATCCATAAGGAACCCTAAAAAACTATATTTCTTGAGTTTCAGCTCTTTTAACAAGTGGCATTGAAAGAAAAACAGTCAAAAACAGAAAAGAAATCACAATTTTAAAAAAATGGAGTAGCTTTTTATTATTTAGTTTAAGAACTTTAGTCCCTAAGCAAATTTTCACATGATCCAGAACACAGCACTTATATACTATGACAGAAAAAGCTCTTTGCCACACTATGTAGATCCACAATTACTTCATAAGCAAATTTTCACATGATCCAGAACCCAGCACTTATATACTATGAGAGGAAAAGCTCTTTGCCACACCTTGTAGATCCACAATTACTACTAGGTCCACAATCCCTTATCTGAAACCTTTTTGGCCAAATATGTTTCAGAATTCAAAATTTAAAATCTTTTTAAAATTTTTTAAAATTCTCCCTAGAAATGTTGTAGCAGGATGGAAAATCATTCCATTGCCTGGAGAAAAATAATTTGCATATTTCACCCTCAAAAGACTGCGCCATCTCTCCTCTTACCTGTCAGAGCTGCCCTTGAGGTCAGCATACCAGCCTCTGGTCTCTACTCCCTTCCACCTCCCCCTTCTGTGTTCATCAATCTTTTGTCCTGCCGTCAGTAATTCTCTCTCCTTTCCCATGTAAGTCCCCTCCAGTTTCTTAACTTTGTCCACTGCCCTGATGCAACATACCTTCTGCAAGGGGAGAGCAGTGAGGAAAGCTCTCAGTAAATTTTTTTCTGAGTATTCACCCAGTAAATCTTTTTTCTGACACACATGCTTATGGAGTGAGTGCCAAGAAACAGCTGCAAGGGGAGTTGTGTTGACCTACCCGCAACTGAGGGACACTGTTGTAGAACACTGTTGCTCCTGATTCTCTTTGGGTCCTGCACACTCAGACAGTGAGAGCCCAAGGCAAAGGGGCCCAGGATGCCTTCATGGTTTCCCCTCTATAGCATGTGCCTCTACTGAGCAGCGGGTTAAGGCTGTCTGCTTTAAACATTACTTGGTAACTTAATACAAGCTCGCTCCTGTTTTAATATTTTACATTATTTTATTTAGAACCCCGTCGGTGCACCCCATCGTTACAGCCCATCACTCTTAATTCACTTCAGTGGGTCTATGCACACTCTGAAATTACATGGAGAACGTTGTGAGTACCGGCATTTTCCTGGAGAGGGCGCCCTAGTTCTCAGCATGTTCACCAAGGAGCCCATGACCCTTGGAATATAGTTCATAACCCCTGGCCTCCACAGAGTGGCCCAGGCTCCACAGCAGAGGACTCTCTATTAATTGTTCAGACCTCAATCGCCAGTCCCTGCCTCCTGCTTTAAGCCCCAGTAAAAAGTAT